TAATAAATAAACTGTTTAGTACAGACGCGCTGACAGAGGCAGTACTATAATTTTGTTTGTTAATCATTTATTCTACGCAAATTATTATATTTTCTTTACACTTATAAAATTATAAATAAGTTCTTTATCTTCTTTACGAAGGAAACCTTCTGCACACGTAATCATAACGCTTATTTAAGTTGAGCGTTTTAAAGAACTGGCGTAATAATATATTGATAAAAAAAGAATAAAACCCTTTTTTTTGTTTAATTTAAAAAATATATAGTAATTTATTTAGTGTATATAATAAAATTTTATTTTAAATAGTAATAATAAACTAGTAATAAAATTAAATTATAATAAGTATTTAATTATTTGAAAAAATATAATAAAATATCTTTGGATTATTTAAGGCTTTGATAAATAATTATTATAATTAACTAATCTAACTAATTATTTATTAATAATATTAATGATAGAAATTTTTATTTATTTGTTTAATAATATAGAATATAAAAATACTTTCTAATGTATTAATATATTAATCTATACTTAAATAGTAAATTATAATTAATTGTTTAAGTATTAAATATAAAAGCAATTTCTTTTCTTAAATGTTTTGTATTTATTTTTATATAGTATTTTAAGAGAGAACAAATAAAATTGTTGCATTTTGATGACTATTGTTGCTTTGTCACACAAATTTTATTGGGAAATTTGACCTAATACTTTTTTGTGGCGTCATTTAATTGCACTTCGTTTAAAAACCCTAATAACCAGCTTCATTTTTTTTTCACACCAAATACAAATACCTCTGGGAGGAATTTTGTTTTAACATGCAGTTTGAAAAATTTAGCAAGAAATTGGTATTTATTATAGGTTTTATTCTTTGTTTTTAAGTTTGAACGTATTCGGTTAATCGAAAGTTCGTTTCAATTTGTAGTGGGGCCGAATTACCGATACACGATGGACCATTGCGTATATAAGTTTTGCAGTATTACAAATGATAATATCCGTTTCATTAGAAGCTATAATATTGCAAAGAAATGAAATAAGCCATTCAACATTAGAAGCATATAAAATTCATGACACTGCTGATACCCCAAAGATAGCATATAAAAATTATACATATTCTAAGTATACAATGCAATTTCAATCGATTGAACATGGAAATATATGGTTTATGGTGTTTCAAGCTTTTCTAGTTACATTATGTATTTCTGCGGTATGTATTTTAACGTATCTCGGAATTGGTCTTAGTTTAAACATTAAATCGATCTAACATTCTATCGACGGTTTTTATTTATTAAGGTATTCTTTCAAGTAAGTGTTTATTTTTTTGATACATCGTTAAGTTATTATCACATATTTATTAGCTTTCATTATTAGAATACTATAGAGTTAATTTCAATAGCACTCATCAATATATGTTTAATATGTGCTGCGGGATTACAAATTTATCAAAGTAATAAATGGATTAATCGAGTTAATATGCAAATTGATTCTGATAAAAATAACGGGATCCAAGGCCTAGAAAATTTAAGTGATAATGTGATTATGTGGGAAGGTATTCAACTATTTATCTTGATAGTGTTTGATGCTGCTTCAATGTTCTTTGGATACAAGTTATATAAACAATTTGGCTGGGATATCTACAAGAAAATAGGCGCCCATATACAGATGCAAAGTAGGTAATTTGTTTAAGTGAACTTGTCTTCAAGAACAATGATATTAACTTTATTATCATTATTAAACAGGGATATATCGAACATATCTTGGTAAGTTAAAAACCAAAAAATGATTTATAATCATGACGTCTTTATACTTATGCTTATGCTTTTATTATTCTTATAGTATTCCTTTTGCTACTGAAATTGGATTTCTTTCTCTTGATTTGTTTCCAAATTCTTAACTTGGTTTTCTTGTTTAATGATAATGAGGAGCAGACACGTAACATTATTTTCCAAAGTATCATGGTCGCAAGTGTTATCCCAATGGTTGGTTTAGCATTATGGGGGGTATGTAATAATAATAAACAAATAAACAAATATTTTATGTATATATAAGTCATTGATTTACTTATTATTTGTTTGTTTATTATTTTTGATCAGGTCCGTAGAGAAAATATAGTAGCGATGTTCCTTTTTACAGTGACTTCTGTAATTACAATAGCGAATTTTCTTTATATTTTGGCTGAGTTTATCATTAAAAGGGATGAATTCCTGCTAACGTTTTTGGTAATTAATATATATGTAATCAATTATCGTATATTTTAATATATACATTTTTTAAAAATGTTTACGATTTTGTTTTAGGATATTCTTGGTATCTTATTATCCATAATGTCAATGGTGGTTGCATATTTGGCTGTATTAAATTTTGGTAATGTATTTGAATTTACAATATTTTACGGGATATTTTCTAATATTAATGATGTTTTATTATATAATTATATATATTTATAGACAGTGGCTTGAGAGATTATTGTATGTTCTCATTATGATTTGTGAATGTTAAATATTATTTTTATTATTAATGAGTCTAAATTTAACTATCTCTTAATATTTTTAGTTCAAAGAAGAAATCATGAAGGTGCTATCAATTTGGAATCTGGTGGTCAAGGACAACGAATAACGCCGCGGTTTTCAATTGATGACTAATTTGTATAAAATGTTAAATTTGATTATCATGAAAGGTAAATTGTTCTAAACATTCCCTTTGAATATTTGTCAAATGTATTTTGAACACATTAATTTTGCATTTATTTATAAAAAATTTCCTTTTAAGAGAATTTATTATTTCCTTGAATGCTAAAGAAAGAGACTAATAAAAAATGTGGATCTTTTTTATAGATCTTCCTTAATTATTCATCATCTAAGTTGTACTATCAGATCTCAGAAGAAATTCTAATTTTAAACGAGATTTTTTATTAAAAAAAATGATATATATCGGCTATATTTTTTCATATATTTTTGGTAAAAGTTTCAAGTATTTTTATTATTATATTCCTAAAAAAATTAACTATACCTTTTATATTCTTCTTTTATAAATAAATAAACATTTTTGTAATATTAAAATTTTAAAAAATTTTATTATTTAAAAAAATAATTAAACCAACTTTTTTTAAATTTTTTTTTTTTTTGTTATAAAACGCTATAAATTGCTAAGTTTTTAAAAGTAAGATCAATACTTATTCAGAAACAACATATCCTTTACCTATAAACCATTTTTTTTTCCATCAAAATATAAAATTAATATACATATGTATATACAATAAAAGAGTAAAAAAAAAAATTTACCTTTGTATCCTTCAGAAGAGATACCAGATATAGGATCTGATTTTTGTTCAATCATCCTTTCATTAGTGGCTTCTTCCCATTCTTTGTTAATAGTTCTTGGTTTATCGGTTACTTTTAATTATAATAATCACATTCAAAGAAAAAAAATTTCTTAAAAAGCTTATTTATAATAATACTGTTAAAAAGGATGATAATACTTTACCAGCTATTTTACTCAAATAATAAAGTCCTGAACCAATAATAATTACACCGCTAACTCCTGCAATTATTTTACCAGTTTTTCCAGATTGACCAAATTCTTCTCTTGGTCCATGATTCCCAAAAGCAAGATAATAAGCTTAAAAAAATAATAATTATTATTATTTATTATCTATTAACTTAATATCAAATATTTATAAGGTATGTTGTTCTTTACTTTTTTTTTTACTTTTATTAAAAAGACAAAATATTATAAATATAAAAATACCAGCTTTCTTTTCTTCAAGAGAGAGTTTTTGCCAATCTTGTTTTTGTAAATCTTCAATTTGCTTTGTAACATTAGTTTGCTCATCAACTGATAATGTACTCCATCTATTGACAACTTCAGAAATTGCTGGTGTAGTTGTAGAAGCACTCCTTCTAAAATTAGTAACTTTTTTATTAAGTTGTTGTTTATTAATACGAACTAAAGAACGAAACATTTTAATGAAACTATTTTGATATATAAAAAAAAAAAAAGTTCGGTTCTTGGATTGTAGTCAAAATTTTCTAAAATTTCCTTGATTTCCTTGCATATGTTATTGGATGATATTAATCGCATGTTTAAATATTAAATTTTTTTTTTTTTGTTGAACCCAAAGTGCTGATACATGATAGTCCCATCTATAAACTAACTACCTTGTTTCACATACGACGTCCAAGTTTTTAACAAACACGAAAGGCGAAAATAAAAATTGTTGTTAGCATATATCTAGATTTACAAGATGTTTACAAACTTTCTTATAATACAACAAGGTTTTATGAAAGAAGCGATAAAATGTTTTCGTAAAGAATATTCACGAGAAAAAAGAATATTGATCATTCAATGCAAAATTAAACGGCTTGTATTTTTTTGTACTACTTTTCACCTTCAAAATGTAAATTTAAAAGTTATAAATATATATTCGAAACCATTCTATGTGACATGCATCTTCCTTGGTGTTAATTATGTGATGTTTAAACATATATAGGAATGACTATTACTTATTTTTCACCTGTACATTAAATAAGATTTTTTTTTCGCGCTTTTGTATACGTTTTGCTTTTATAAATTTTATCTTGTAAGTTTTATTGTAAATGAATTTTTGTAATTTGATAAGAATATCAAATGCATTATCAGGTTTAATCAACATTTTCAAGCTTAGTAATTTTTTTTTTCCCAACATATATATAAAGTGAAATTAAGGTATTTTTTTTAAAAGTATGGATAAATACATAGTTTTGATAATAAAAATATACAAGAGAAAAAAGAATTTCTTAGGTTACAAAGGCGGGTTTTCAGATAGTTTTTATATAAAATTCAAAAAATCATTTTTTTATAATTAAATAATAAATTTTAATAAAAGATTTTAATTATTTTATATTTGAATTTCTTATTTATTTATGCTAAAATAATGTATTTATAGTTTTTAAGTTTAATTATAAAAAACATGATAATAGATACCTACAAACATCAAGTTATTATTATCTACTATATTAAAATTTTCATTTAAGTTATATTTGTATTGATCTAATTTTATAAATAATATGACAGTTAAATTGTTTTTAAAATCTGAATCAGAATTTCAAATGTGTATTTTGATTATGAGTTTATTGTATTATTCAAGTTTTTACAAAATATTAAATCAAAATTTCGATTTAATAATAAAGAGATTTTTCACAAGATATTATTAAATCCGAATTTCAATTTAATAATAAAGAAATTTATTTTTAAAGAAAAGTATTTTATCATCATTTAATTTTCATTTTTAAACATTCTAACATATTCTCAATCATTTTATTAATTCAAATTATTTCACATTTTTTAACCTTTTATAAACCAATATCAAAAAATAGTTATATCAAAAATTATCTGAAATGATATAAAGACTGACAGAAACCAAGTAGGTTGCTTGTTTTCTGATACCAATTTTGTAACTTGGCAATTAGGCTTGAATGACAAGCAATTAAGTAGGTTTGTATCACATTACTGAGATTATTGTGAAAGCTTCTGCAAGAGTAGAAATAAGTTTTTATTAAAGATGGTTCCCATAATTATTTTTAAAATTTTTAACTAGTTGCAACATAAGTTGCAACACTTTGAGTTGTAACATTTTATGAATTTTTATATTAAAATAAATTTACAAGGAGTTGCAACTTCTTAATTATGGTGTCTATCTTTAGTTTTTATGGTAGTAGTAAAATAGGATTTCAACAAAAAATATTTTCTACCTTCTACATGATATTGTGAAGTTTCTGCAACAATCTTTTTCACTCATTCACAAAAAAAAGTTTACTTGCCAATTTATAATTATCAAGGTTTTTTTTTTGTTATTTTCTTCCTCACATTATGTTAACTCTCAAAAATAATATCAAGATATTTAAGATAACAATCTATTTTCCTCTAAAATAATTTCAGGTTGCATTTATTCAGAAAACAAATAATATCTTATTTTGAGAATTTACGATCAAAATATTCATATTCTTTGCTTTCTGATATTACTCAAGTTAGTAGTTTAATTTGTAAATACAAAATCCAGATATTTGCATAAATATACAAATATTCAAATAAGTAATTTTTATAATAGATACTAAATTACAGATATGCAGATATCTGCAGATATCTATAATTATATTGTATATGTCATAATTATGCATATAAATAAATTGTATGAAATAAAAATTTTTTTTTATTTTTTTTATATTATAGAGAAATTTAAATTTTCATTACTTTGGCAATATAGTTTTATTTAACTTTAAGTTCTATTTCTTATGTCAAAAATTTTATCTTTTTTTACTTAAATGTCTAAAACTTTTGATAAAAAAAATTTAAAACTAAAATAATGAAACAATATTTTATAATTTTTTAAACCAATATTAATTAAAGCAAAAAATCAAATTTTGCTTTTTTTTTATTTAATTTTTTCTCAACCACATTGAGTTTATGTAAATCATTTAAAAACTAAACACGTGTAATTTTAATTTTACGTGTTTTTTATTTTAAGTTTGAAAAAATTTGTAAAATGTCATAATTAAAAAATCATATAGAAGATTTGATTTCTTAAGTAAATAGATTAAAAAGATCAGTACAAAGTTTTAATAAACTATCAAAATGATAAAAACAAAATTCACATGTATCTATAATTGAGTTAGAATTAGATACTGATACAAATAATCAATTAAAATCACAAAAAAATAGAAAAATTGATTTGAATAAAATAGCTGATCAGCTAATTTTAATTCCAAATGTTAAATCACTGGAATAGAATTAAATATGATGATATTTTGATTTATATAAACCAATTGAACAATATAAAAGAATTGTGAAATATTTGGTTTAAATTCAACAAAAAAATAATATAGAATTATGTGATTATTTTATGGAGACTGATAATTTTACTGGTAATTTTATTGTTCACCTTGCTATATATCGAATTACTGAAGAAAGTCATAAAAGAAATATAGATGAAATGAAAAAGAAAAATCTGTTATCACAATTATGTATAAATAAAATGATACGATTAATCAAAATAAATAATCCAGATATCAAAAATCGTTGAGATCAAAAGTTTGTTAGAATTTTAATTATATGTAATGATGAAGGATTTGAATTTATCTATAAATTTGATTCAAATTATCAAATTTTATGTGATAAAACAATTTAGAAATTATTAGCTGAAGCATATAATCAAATCAAAGAAATTTTAGTAATAAAGCTTAATGAGCATGTATTATTCTGTTCTATAACAACAGATTTATAGATAATACAGAAAGAAATGTATATATTAGTATTACATGTTTTTTTATTGATAATAATTTTAATTTTTGTGAAGTAATTTTAGCAATTTAATATGTATTTTACCTTCATACTAGTGATAAATATTTGTAAAATTTTATGTAAAATTATTTCTAATTGAAATTTGGTTGACAAGGTTTTTATAATGATAACTGATAATAGATAAAATATGGTTTGAGCTGAAAATTTAATAAATGAACTTAGTCTAGGCAATTTCCCTAAAAAATTTTTTAATATTACTTATAATGTCAAATCTAATTGTATTTATATATACTTTGAATTTATGTTTTATATATAATTTCTTTTAATTCTGATAACAAATTATCATTTGATAGCTAATTTAAATAAAAAATTATTAAATTTAATAAATAATGTTTACATTAAGCATTAATTATAAAACTGGATTCAGTAGTAACAAAGTGAAATTAAATCAAAATAAAAGAATAAAAATGATAATCAGAGGATAATGTTTTGAAATATAATCAATAAAATTCATATTAAAAAGTATTAATTGGGTTGATCCGTTACTTTTAGTAGCTATTTGTTTTTCTTAAAATAGCAAATCAATGCTTAATAAATTAATTAACCACAGAATTTTCTGCAATAATTATCATATAAGATGATTACAAATTTTTATTAATTTAGGATTAGTTACTTTTTAAATGATTACATATTTAAAAGAAAAATTTCCGACTTTCTACATTTTTTTTTTAAAAAAAAAATGTAATCTTTAAATTTAACAATTTATAAAAAAAGGCTTAATAATTGTATTAAAAGCATTTACTTAATTAAATATATGAAATTGTTAAAACACAAATTTATTTTTTAGTTATTCATCAACAGTGGATAGAGGGATTATTTAATAAATTAGATTTAAAAACATATTCAAACTTGAAGATGGATCTTAAAGAATTAAAGCATTGACTAATTGTTTTACAAATTGATAAGAGAAATTTACAAGATGAAATGGAAAAGTACATTTTCAAAGATGTAATCCAAGCAATATTTTACATAAGACGCAGAAAAGCATATTTAGCAAAGATCATATTCTTTAATCAAATATTTAAAAAATAAAAAATTCTATAACTCAATGCTGGTTATTCTTTTTAATAAATAATACGAATTTATATTTCAAAATATACAATACCGCCAATAAATGATTTTAAATGTTACTCTAACAATCGAATTCAGTAATTAAAAATAAGCATAGGAAAAAATCCGAATTATAAGGACTATACAAATGTTTGATTTAATTATTATTTCTACCACCCGTCTGTGATTTAATAGATGATCATCCATATATTTCCATAATTAGTTATATTATGAAGATCTTTGAATCCCACAATTTCAAAATTTTCACTTTTTAATATAAATAAGGATAGAATTCATTTGTCAATTCCTCAGTTTGCATTCACTTTCGTGGGTGTTTATACTCCCTCTTGTGGAGGGGGGCGATGGTTATAGGCTGACTCTGTCCCCATGTCTTCGGATAGGGGTCGATTTGCACCATGTAGTCTAGTCTTCCTTTATGAGTGTGTAACTTTTATAAATCATAGCGGGTGGTGTGATAAGAGGGATAATGTAACATGTAAACAAATAGGAGATTGTCTTTTGACTTGTTAACGATATTTTGCCCAAATCAACAACTGCGCATATTAATTTTTAACTTTATGACGAAACGAAAATTATAATAAGGATCAATCCATTCAATATTTATGCTGAAATATATCAAGTTTCACAATAAATTATATAAAACTTGCAAACCGAAATACCGTCCACCTCGACAAAAATCACAACATATATTAGAAGAAATCCTAAATTGGCATCCAAATTATCGCTAAATAACAAGAAATTGTGCAAGATGAGTTAGATCTAATTCCAAAGAACAGAACAAAAATCAACGCATGTGGTATATTTTGCAATCAGGTTAAAACCAGTCTTTATTACTTCCATGAAACACTGGACAAGTTTACGTTTTAAATTAAAAGGAAGGTTCTTCACGAGATCAAGAAGTTAACGTGATAACAAGCAGCAAGAAAAATTACCAGCCGGTCAATCACAGTTTCGACTTGTACTCCAAAGAAAAATTATATCTATTGTTAAGAGGAACTTAGAATTATAGCAGCCACAAATTATCAGGAATTTGGAGAATGGAATAGTCATAATACTTTCAGAATATTTAATCAGTCGGGTCTGTTATTGAGAACAAATGGGAAACGTAGTTTCTTTGCGTAATTTTAGCATCACCTGATTTGGCGCAACCTTGCGAAACTATTTGTCCAAAGACTTTTGCACCGTGCTTTTTTCTTTCCATTTCTTGTTGTTCTTAATAATACTGTCTTTTTATTCATTTTTTAAAATTAAGCACGCAGCTTATAGTGAATTTTCTAGACAATATGTTGATACATTGCTCTTTTATGATTTGATTATTTGAAAGAAATTATGCAGATTGAATTTTTTTCTCAACTCTTGTGAAGTGCTGTTTGATATTTGACATCTACGAATAAGAAGAGGATAATAAAAATGATCAAGATTAAAAATCATATAATGTAAATATCATATCCAAACTTACATTAGAAAGTCCTTCAAATCCATAATAAGCGAAAGTTTAGATCATATTGGAAGACATTTTTCGCTAGTTGGATTGTAAAAAAAATTTTGGATAAAAGAATAAGTGATAAATCATCATTTAGAATTAATTTACTTATCAATTGAAAGTATTTTAATATTTTTTTTTGTATTTAACAGTATACTTGTTATATGAAAGCTTTGAGCTAATGCAATGCTGATAGAATTAAATTGTTGGTTAATTCGCATAATTTCGCCTTATATATTGTTTCCGTAAATGGATGTTGACTATTATGAGTCAGTAGATTTAATGTATTGGAAAAATAAATTTACAGATAAGTAATTAACTATAAATTAGAATTAGAAAAGGTCAAAAGTAACTCTACAGGTTATTAAAAATTATATCGTAAGGTTGTCGATCAATCTTTCAGAATCATATCCAATAGAACTATAGTATATCGTTCTTAAGGAACGATAGACGAATCGTTCCGACAGAACAATAATACGTCGTTTTAAAGGAACGTTAAATAACATCTGATGATACTAAAAAGTAAACCAAACCTATGAATAAAAATTTTTTTTTTTTAGCAATAATTGAAAAAGCATTTTCCAATTCGAATTGTTTTATTTTTTCAACTGTTATTATTTTTATTTTTACTAATTATATGTGTAAATATAAAATTACAGTGGTGTATTTAATTTTCTTTACGCGTTAAATTAATTAATTTGTTTAAAAATTCAATACTATTTGTATAATGATATTCCATTTGATCTTCCGAATATCGCCAATTATCTAGCGATTTTTTATTCATGAATCCAGAAGCAATATCTCTCAATTCAACAAATTTATACCATTCATTTTTTATTTCCAATTTCATATCCAAAAAGTTGTTTCCATCAGGATTATCCGGTTGTTGATGATAATGATGATTCATTGAACCAAAAATTTCTTGCATCTTACTTTCCAACAATTTATCACCTTCAGGATAAGGATTTTTTAATTCAGGAAATAATTGAGAAGAATTAGGAGGACCTTTCATATCAAGAGTAATTACAGCTCTTAAACCAATCCAAGGTCCATGTTCTTTATGAATATTTAAAAAACAAACTCTGTTATAATAGGCAAGTGATGCATTTTCCGCCATGATTTGAAATGCGACAAATCTTTTTTCATCTAAATCAAATGTATACCTAATATCATAATCTAAATTTTTTAATGGAATTATTTCTTCAATAATTGATTTTATGCTTACTCTAGTATAATAATCTAACGGATTTTGTTGTTTATATTCTTCATTATCACTACCTTCGGAATAACTTGTTGAACTCGCACAGTGATTACTTGAAGGTATATAACGTGGGTGACTATGGCGAGTGAAGATTTCGGTGGAATAAAATTTCAAAAACTTTGGCCAAAGATATTTGGTGTTTCCTACAAGAATTGATAAAGTTGATTCTGTTTGTGCGAAGGTTGGTAAAGGTGTATATTTACAGGTTGCCGGCAAATTTTCATTATATCTAAAAATATTGAAATAATATTTAGAAATAATTAACTCTTAAAATAATAGTATAAATTATTTAGTAACCTTTGTGCTGGGAAGGCTTTTACTAAATCAAAGCCTAATGAATATAATTTCTTTGAAATTAAATTTGTAATTTCTTCCATGTTTTTTTTTATTTTTATTTTTTCAAGAGAAACCGTTAACTTGACCGTTAAACCACTGATATAAACTAACTCTAATCAAGAAATCATGTTAATCATTTTAATCATTTTCGGAAAACACGTTCTTTAAGGCAGAAATCAAGTATTTCATTATTGTGCCCCGGATTATACATTATACCTTTAGTAATATACCCCGGATATTTTTATAACAAATTTTTGAGGTTCTAAACTTTTTATTTTTAAAAATGACGAAAACGAAAGCGCGTATGAGTACAGGCGGACGAACTTCATTGCAAAAGCCAACTACTCGTTCTACTCGTTCTTCTACTATTAAAAATCAGACCGCTGTGGAGTCCTCTGTTTCTCAATCAAATCTAACCGAGATTGCTCGACCTAAACGCGGGCGAAAGCCAAAAAATACAATAATTAAAGCCACAGCTAACTTATCTGAAACTGAAATTGCTAATGAAATTGATAATGAAACTGCTAATGAAATAGTTAATGAAACGGTTAATGAAACAGTTAATGAAACAACTGTCCCGAAACGCGGTCGTAAACGAAAGGCTGTCATAGAAGATAATATCACTACGGATAGCGATCAAAAAACGAATGAAGAAAAACCTTCTAAACGTGGCCGTAGGAATAAAGAGTTAACAGCAGAGACAGTATCTGTTCAAGTTCCCGCTATCATTGATAAAGAGGCGGTTCCCGATCTCTGTGATAAAAATAGAAAGACTGATACTGAAAAAAATGATGATGATGTTGCGGAATCAGAAGCCGATCATAAACCAAATAAAAAATCAAAGAATGTGTCAAAACCCAAAAAACCTCCTGTAGAGAAACGGCTAGCTCATTTCAGACACGTCTGTCCTGCTGTGAGTTATTCAAATAATTTATGTATTTGATATGATAGCTTAGCTTTTAATCTTTTTTTTATAATTGCAGTCTATTCATGATCGTATTTATCGCGCTGAATCACAACGTATGTACATGGTTAGTCGATCTACAATTAACGAATTGAAACAAGAATTTGCTATCTTGGGATCAACTGGAAACGTATGGGTTAATTTTTTTGTCCAAAGTAATCATCAAATTCAACAAATTCATCTTTAAATTTTTATTTTTAAAAAAATTACCAGGTTTACACTGTCACGATTTCACATTTGCCGAACTGTACTTGCCCAGATTTCCTGAAGAAAAATCTTTGTAAACATATTGTACATATAATTTAGAAAATACATGAACGAATTGTACCTTTTATTCACATTTTGGATTACTAATATTTTAACGATATAACTTTAGATTTTCGTTTACCTTAAAGTTTTACGTCTAAAGCGAGAAAGCCCCTATATATATCAAAAGGCGCTTTTATCTGAAGAATTACTTTCAATCTTTGCGAATGCTGCGCCAGATCCGACTGTTTTGGTAAGAATCGTGTGATATACGTTTTCTAAAATCATTAATTAATAAATTACCGTTTGCCTTATTTATAGGCTAGTCAGAGAGTTCGTGAACATTATAAAGCGCTCACTACAGGAGAAAGTTCTCAATCAGCTGTTGATAGTAGCACGGATGAAAAACGCCGTCCAATCGAAGGAGATTGCCCTATCTGGTATGACCATTAATGTTTTTTGAAGTTTTCTTTTGGAATAAATGTACGCTATTAACGTCCATGATTCATATTAATAGTTATGAACCTTTGGAAGAAAAGGATCGCGATAATATCGTGTGGTGCCAAGAAGGTTGTGGAAACAACCTTCACAAGGATTGTTTCGAACAATGGAAGAAATCAAAACGTGGAGGAAGCGGAAAAGTAAGCAGAGCTCTTATGTTCATTAGTAAAATATTTGGTTATTATTTAGTCATAATTTATTTTTGATCTAGGTTACTTGCGTTTACTGTCGTGGAGAATGGGTAGAAGAATCTACCACAACCGATGACGGTTTAGTAAACGAAGAAGGTTATGTTAACTTTGGAGGTATCCAAGGAATGAGCAATAAACGGGGTAGGTAACACAAAATGTTTTATCAAAGTAAATTTAATGCATTAATGATATTAATGTTGATTTTCATATTTATTAGACACCTCAACCTACTACCAATCCAATCGTTTCTCGCGGCGCTCTTGGTATTAATGAGCCAATTTATGAGTTTTCCAAGTAATACAAGTAAAAGTACTTTTACTTAAGTTTTCCTATTTTTTTTTTTTTTTTTTTTTTTTTTTACTTTTCATGATGGTCGAGAAATACTATATTCGAATATGCTTTTTCGGTATGAAATTTTTAAATGATTTACATTTATAAATTTAATTAATTCTAATAAAGTAATAAAGATATTACTAGTTTTATTTGGGAATTTAAAAAATATAATTCATATACTGTAACATCAATTGAATTTAATGACTTTTGATCAGCAAACGACAATCAAATCATTTGACGAGACAATCAAAAATGAGATGATATTATTGAGTGCATATTTGTTTAGCTAACTAAAGAGCGTGAGAAAGGAGATATTCCAGGTACATGTATGACATTTGGACAAAGCGTCGTGGGAATAAAAGAATTTATATTACGTTTACAGTAAAGAAATTACGTATAAAATTACCTGGTAACAAAAGTAAAAATTTTTTTCTTTTAACTATTTTTTCTTTTCTTTTAACAAAGGACCTATAAATTATTTTAAAAGATGACTTCCTATGAAAACAAAGGACCTAAACTCGATCTTGCAAATTATGAAGGATTTGGTACGTTAACGGCTTTTTTATCGGCATTTTCTCTGCTAAAAAAAAAAATAAACTCTATAATTGAAATATTATTATTATAAAATTTCTCGTTTTAACTATAGATCATGTAAAATTCTGGGTTGGCAATGCCAAGCAAGGTAATTAATCCTATGTATTGATTTGTCGAATCTCGATTTGGGGAACTCATTCGTTATAAAATCGTAATAACTTTTTTCTTTATACAGCTGCATCCTTTTATTGTACTAGACTTGGTTTTAAGCATATTGGATATCAAGGATTAGAAACAGGAGTAAGAAATGTGGTTTCTCATGCCGTTACACAAGGAAAAATAACCTTTGTATTTCAATCCGCGCTTAATCCGAATAATAAAATAATGAGCGATCATCAAAGTCTTCATGGAGACGGTGTAAAAGATGTGGCATTTACAGTAGATGATGCTAGTAGCCTTTGGAAAAGTTGCGTGCAACGTGGTGGTAAATCAATTAAAGAACCATGGGAAGAACGTGATGAAAATGGTGTAGTTATAATGGCTACTATTGGAACCTATGGCGATACCGTACACACTTTTGTTGAAAGAAGGAATTATCACGGCGACTTTTTGCCAAATTTTCATCGCCTAAATTTCAAGGATCCTTTAGAAGACAATTTACCACCTGCTAATTTAGGTTTTCTAGATCACGTTGTTGGTAATCAACCTGATCTTGAAATGGATAAAATTTGTGAAATGTATGGGTTATTTTGCATAAAAAAAAAAAATTTTTTATTCTCATTTTCGGAATACTTCTATATTAATATTTTATTCTTTTAGGTATGAAAAGGTTTTCAATTTTCATCGATTTTGGTCAGTTGACGATAAACAAATCCATACAGAGTATTCCTCTTTACGTTCTGTTGTCATGGCTGACTATCATGAGAAAATTAAAATGCCGGTAAATGAACCCGCAATTGGACGAAAAAAATCTCAAATTCAAGAATTTATCGACTATTATGGTTAGTAACATCACGTGATTTCACTAACGTTAAGGAGAAAAAAAACTTGGTTATTTTTTTTTTATTAACTGAACGAATTTGCAACACTGTAACAGGCAGTGCAGGAGTTCAACATATCGCATTGAGAACTGAAGAGTAAGTCTTATGTTGCGCTTGCATTGCATTAATATTGTCATGAATTCAATTATTATTATTATTATTATTATTAAAAATAGTATCATTACAAGTGTAACAAGTCTTCGTGCTCGTGGATTAGAATTCTTAACCATTCCTGCTACGTATTATGATAATCTTCGTCAGATTCCTTGTACAAAGATTCTTGAGGACATTGCAATTTTACAACAATTAAATATTTTAGTTGATTACGACGAAGAAGGTTATTTATTACAGGTAATGTAAAATAATAAACCATTTAACCATTTTTTAACTTCTGTTCGGAGAGAATTCTGTTGACAAATCAACTTTTTTTAAAAAAAAATTATAAAGATATTCACTAAACCGCTCCAAGATCGTCCTACCTTGTTCATTGAAATAATTCAACGTCGTAATCATCAAGGTTTTGGCGCTGGTAACTTCAAGGTGACTAATCCATACAGTGGCCTTTTTCTTTTTTCTTTTTTTTTTATTAATAAAATCTGTATATTCTTTAGGCGTTATTTGAAGCTATTGAACGTGATCAAGACACACGTGGAAATTTGTAAATTGAAATTTTTTTAGATTATTATTAATATATTATTATTATTATTACATTTAATTGTATCCAATGAGAACCTTGTGAAGCAAATAAAGGTGGTTAAAACTTTATCCATTCAAAACCCCTATTGTATTATTATTAATTTTTTTACGCCATAATCATCCAAGGTCGTTATAGCAATAATCGACATCATAAAAAATAAAATAGAACTTTCAAAATTATCTGCATACGAAGAAAAAAAATAATGTTGACTTATAACTTGAAAGTTTATTTCTTTTATATTGAACGAATCTTTTTTTTTCTTGAAGCGAAACTTTATAAATCATTACCAATTTAAAAAACGGAGTAAAAATTAGTCAATATTAGTTGTTGGTATTTTTGTGTATCGATTGTGTGAATATTTGCTTTGAGGGGTGGTAATACGGATAATACGTGAAACTCATTTGATTTTTAATCAGCTGGTTACATATTCAAAACCTTTTTATTATTCACTGGTAGAAAAGAAAAATGTCAAAAAAACGCTTATGTGTTGACTATCGCAAATTAAATAGCGTTACAAAAAGGATAATTACCCATGACCACGCATTGATTATATGCTGGAAATATTGGAAGGATCTCCATGGATTTACTTCATTGGATCTTGCTAGCAAATTCTGCCAAGTTGATCCTAAGGATTGAGAAAAGACTACCTTCATCACTAGATTTGGGACTTATGAATTCAATGTTATGCCTTTTGGACTTTGTAACATACCGGGGGAGGACAAAAGTATTGCACAGTCTTGATTTAGATATTTTAGTTATTTTATCATATTTAACTAAGCCATATTTTTTAGTAACGTATTGATTATCAATTACATAAATGAAATATTTTCATTATAGTTTGAATTAATATATTGCAATTCATAAAATCGAATTTGAAAATACTTTCAAAGTTTGATTTAGTGCAAATGATAGAATAATTAAAGGACTAATCTTTTAGAATAGCAGAAAATTGGGTTCAGTAATTCAGAAATCATAAGTATTATAGGATGTTATTATACAATTGTTATTTGGTTTCTTTTGCAAGAGAAACATCCAAAAAGCCAAATATCAGATCCTATAATGAAGCTTAGTACTGTGAACGAATAAAATATGATAGGACCTACGTGGCACAGATGATCGACAAATCCGACAAATCTGACATATATGACATATCTGACATGATCGACAAATCTGACATATATGACATATTTGACATGATCGACAA